GCACGACCGAGGCCGTGCGATCGTGTGCTAGTGCACACAGCGATCGCCGCGTGGCCCCACTGATTTCAATGGGGTGACATCCGCGCGGCAATCAATAAAAAAGGTACAAGTACCTTTTTTTGCGACACACGAGGCGCAGCTTTTTTTGTGTTCACTTGCACAGGCGGAATCGAGGTGGGAAACCACGCAATCCGCCCGGCGCGACTGGGGTGCCATTAGAAAATAATGGCACCCACAGTGCGATTGGTTCACACCTTGGCGACTCCTGACCATGCGGCAATCGTGCACAAAACCATGCGGACTGCTGCGTGGTCAGGAGTCACCTAGATGTGAACCTAGCCTAAGAATCATCTCTTCAGGGAAGCCTATCCCACCTCAAACTAACAACTGAACAATCACGTTCTCAAACAATTCATCCCCACACAGCTACCTCCTCATGTATCACTTGCCCCTCCATTTTAGATTGTAAGCTCTCACAGGCAGGGACCTCCTCACCATCTTCTCTTGAATTGTATTGTGATTGTAATGTCTTCCTTATATTGTAAAGCGCTGCACAGAGGCATAGTGCAGGAGTTGTTTCATGCTGGATTGCTGTACAGATCTGGAAGAAATACACAAAGGACACCAAGATTCAAGTAAACTGCACATGGCTCTTCCTTTTAGACAGTTTAGGGTTGCTTTATTAAAGGCAAATAGGGTGTTCACTTTTCAAGGCAATTTACACTGTACATTCTCCCTTAGCTTAGTGAATGTGGTGAAAATTCTCTTTGCAAGGAATAGCCAGCCACGAACAAGGAAAATGAAAAACAGCTTTTTTGCTTGCACATGTATGGCAGAGCTTCACCTCAATCACCGAGTTAAGGGAGAACTATGAGGTGAGTGATTTTCACCCAACCTCATAGTTCTAGCTGACCTGTGACAATGAAACTGTCACACGTCAGTTCAATAGATCAGGAAGTGAGCGAACACATACCGTCGCTCGCTCACTTATGGATCCTGTCCCTGCAGAGAGCCGTGACTGTCACTCACAGCTCCCTGCAAGGATTCCCCCCTCCGATCCTCCAGCGCTGACTGGAGGAACGAACGGGGGAGGGGCGGGTACAGCTGGCTCTGCATCTAGATAGGCAGAGCCAGCTGTCAATCACGCAGCTGGGTGGATCTCGACAGCATTGTCGGGATCCGCTCCGGCTGCGGCGGTCTCTTTATACCGTGAGCTGTAGCTTGCGGTATACTGAGCTTTGGGTCACGGGAGGATGCTAGTTTATGTCCTCCCGTGACCCTGAGAACTATGGGGAAAAACGCTTACCCCATAGTTCTCCGTTAAGTAAAGAAATTTCCATGCAAAGTGCAAATTCCCTTGCAAAATGAAGAACCAATTTGACTTTAGTAAATCAACCCCATTGCCTCAACTGGAGTGCAGCTAACCAGATTTAACATTTTTATTTTCTAAGTTGTGTGGAAATAAGGAAAAATAGAAGCAGATTGGTTGCTGTGGGCAATTGTACCAGTTAAGATAGAACTTAGAAACGTTTTTTAATTTTTTTATGTCTCAGACACTTTTTTTTAATTCTTCCCTATATGTTTGTTGTTGATTTCAGCTTAAAGGTAGCCATAGAAGGGGCCTAATTGTTTCCAATGTGGCAGATAATCATCCTGTACAGGGCTCTTTACAGTCTGTTAAATTAATACAGATAATACAATTTGTGAATGCTTATGTATGATACTCATGTTATACCTAAACATTATTACTAATTAATTGCCCATGGAGTGGCATTCATAAAATATGGGATCTTGGTACCTTATATCAACATATCTAAACTGTATTGGGAAAATGTGTAAACTGCCTTTGCTGAGCTCTCTCAAAAATTCCAATTGCTTGGAGGATATGCTGATTCTAAGGATTTCATGCTTTCTGAGTCATTGACCTGGAATAAGTATCACACGTTTTGATTTCTCTGTCTGCATGCTTGTTCCAGGTCAGTAAGTCACAAGTACTGAGGCCAGAGACAGGCAGACAACTTGAAATGGCAGCTTCTTTTTTTTCTCTCAGTTTCCTTTAAGGAAAAATCTTGATGCTTTGCCTAAAAAGCCTACTTAAAACACAAACAGAATACCTCCGAATGGGTTTAAGAATGGTAAGGAAATAAAATGCTCTTTTTCTATACAGAGGAGTGAAATTTTGTGTAGTTACACCCTAGAACACATTCAGATGATGTATTTTACCCTGCTTGGTATGGTGCTTGCACTTGAGACACATAAAAGAATGCAATGTTCTTTAATGTATATACACTGGAATCATATTTTATATGTCTAGAATGGCTAAGCCATTGCTTACAGAGATTCTAAAAAAGGATGCATGGCAAGCTTTTTCCTGGTGCCCTTAAACTACTCCCAGATTTCAGATGTTTAACGGTGCATTGAGTTGGATAAAGCAGCACTCAGTGAAGTGTTGCACACACTCACTTTGTTTGGTGTGGTACAATGTTGCGCTGGACATTGCCTCCATGTTGCCTGATGCAACAAGCCTATTCATTTTTTTTTTTAAACATCTTTTTATTGAAATTCCATAGAACATCATATTTCAAACATAGAATAATAATGTAATAGCAGTACATCATATCCAAACAAAACAATATACAAAATAACATACACTCATGTCACATGTAGACCAAAGAAAATTAATCAAAAAGAGACATAGAGATTTGCAGATTGCATGAAACCCTTTCCAAAGAGTGTTTCAGCTTTGTTCATCATGCTTACTATCCTAGCAGCTGCAGACTGCCGTAGGTACGACATATCTTAATGGCTACCTCACCTAGCCCGGATCATAGTTCTCCGGGAGTTCTAACTGCCCTAGGGAGTTCTCCAACCTCCGCTCTAGGTACCATTTAGTTAGTTTGAAGGGATACATGAGAGCATGTAGCTCGGCCCTGGAATAATTGTGTAATATAAAAGGTTCTCACTTCTTAAAGAACCCATCAGAGTGTTTGTCCGGGTCAAGAGTTGCCTCAAGTCTCTCCTTCCACATCAAAGACATCAATGCCTTCACAAAATGTTGGGGCGATGGAGGCTGCGTGGAGAGCCATTGATGCATAATTATACGTTTTGCCAGTAACAGAGCTACATACACCCATTGCCGCGTATGTCTACTAGGTACCGTAGATGATTTCCAATAACTGAAGCCTATTCATTTTCATTGATACCTTACAGAGAGAGTACCGTATTTGAAAGCTGGAGAAGCAGAACCTCCAGTGCCTCATTTATAAAGGTGCTTGGAGACATAAGAGAATGATCACCCAATCCAGCTGTTTGCAGTATATGGGAACTTTCCCAACTGAGCCTGACTGAGCACTCTTGGGGAGCAAAGAAATCAGCCTGGATGGATTCCCCAACGGTACAAAGCCGGATTTACCATTTACTTGTGACTATGGGTGGGAGAGGCAAAGACACGGCTTATTCTTGTACAGCCGTTGGAAACACACCTTTTTTTCATCACCATTACAAGTCATGTCATATAAACTAATTACACATTCACAATATTGTAAAATGGCTAAGAGCCCTTTTAGATAGGCTGCCTGATCAGATCCACCTGCCAGTTTTTCAGGAGGATCTTATCGGAAGCCCATTGTAACTCTGTGGGCAGCCGAATGTAAATCGGCATGTGTCCATGTACCTATGATTACCTCCGAGTCAGTCCAGTTTAAAAAAACAAAACAGAGGTTTATGTTCTACTCCGTTTTTTAGGACCTAAGCGTGACTGATCAGAGGTAATCAAATGTAAACAGGCAAATATACCTATTTCCAAAAACCACCTGCACTCCTTATGGTCTCACAACCTCGTAATATTAGTGGTGCTCAAGGTCATCGCACGGATGGCGCCGTGCAAAACTTAGAGTAATCACAGTGGTTCACCGCCACAAAAAAGGAAAGTTAGAATATCAATATCTCGTTGATATGTTTATTTGAGAAATGTCACGTCATGTCATTAAAAGCAGACGTTTCGGGGACCTCGCAGGGACCCTTATTACGCTCTGATTAAGGGTCCCTGAAACATTAGATTTTTAATGAGATGACGTGACATTTCTCAAATAAACATATCAACAAGATATTGCTCAGTTTTTTCCTCCATTTTGCTATTTTAACGGACACAAATGCGGCATCCATTCCACACTGCTGTGATAAGCAGGAAAGCTGTGCACGGATCCCCCGCTGATGCAAGAGTATGGGTGCTGTGGGGAAGGGGCCTTGAGAAGAAAATATTCTGAGCAAGATAACTTATCCTAGCAGGGGGGTGTTGATCTAGGGTGCCAAAGGTTGTATGCCTACAGGCTCCAGGGATAAGTATTCAAGTCTTTATGTCAAGATTGTATTATTATTGGTTTTTAAAATACCATGGGTGTATGAAATTTGATTATAATGGATGGAGGTGTAATATTTTTTTTTCATGGAAATGTTTTAACATGGATTAATAAACGCTTATTTTATTATAGACATGAGTTTGTAAAACGTTTTTGGTGCCTAAAAAGCCCCATTTTGTGTTGTAAGTTGTTATATTTTAATTAGCAGTGGTGTGGTGCCACACTCTCACCTCTTCACCCCATATGCAATATAGAGTACTGTGTTATTAAATATCCAGCCTTAACCGTGTACCTTTGCCCGATGTGGACATACATGTTTGTTTAAATAAGGTTTTGTTAAAAATATCACTCGATGGCCAGATTGTCCATGCGTGGCTAGCTTATATTGGATGTCTTAGGTCACCCATAGCCCAGAGTAGAGTGACAATAGCAGTATGTTCTGTCTGACTAAGTAAGCTGAGTGATAATACACAGTCATCTGTACTGGATGACTTTGCAGTGAAGTCCCCTGCTCAGAAGTCTTTCACTCTCTCAGTTCTCTTTAGAAGAGGTCGGGGGAAGTGTTAAAAGGGGTGGATAGTACATCACACAGCCTGAGTGCAGTGCTGTCCATCAGCCAATGATGTGGGAGGTTTCCAGAGTAAACCTCAGCTGGCAGACATTTAAATGAGAGACAGCTCGGCGCTGCAGCAATTTGTAGCCTGGATCTGAAGGATTTCCTCCATCCTCTCGAATGGACAGCTCATATAGGACACTATTCCTGTGAGGCAGGACCAGCCAGGCACTTCACACAGGTAAGGCAGTCTTTCCTAAGTCCTGATCCATCCTACAGAAGCCACAGCATAATCTATCTGCCAAGAAGAGTTGCCAAGTGTCCCTGAAATCTGGATATGCATCATTAGGAGAGCATATATCAGAAATCTGAGAATCTGGTTACCTCTACATCATGTGCTCATAGAAAAAGACTATGTTTGATGTACAGGTCAATTCATTGTGCCATAGTAAAGTATCTCCTATATTGCATTATTATTCACATGCTAAATACAGCACGTTTATTTACTTTAAACTGCTGCTAAGGACTTTGGTCATTTAACAGTCATAGCAACGCTTATACAAATACATGGCTCATCATTTTATTGTGTAAAGTTGTGATTTTGTATTTATTAGATTGCTTTATGGTGTATCTTTCTACATTCGATTTCAGTGAGATAGCAGAACAAATACAACAGAATACTATTTAATATGATGTGGTAGCACAACATTACACTTGCTGAACTTCAACATTGTCATGATCGCATTGTCTCACAAACTGCTATAATATTATGATTCCTATTTATAATTATGACTACTATAAGAATATTAGGAAACAAAGATATCAGTTTTCACTTTCTAGAGATACGTCTTCTTGCACTACTTCTGCTGTGCAATAACTTACAGAAGTACAGAAGGTGCATAAACATATGTGTGTGTAATTTTCTGCACATTGATTTTGTTGTGGTCAATAAAAAAGTTAAGTAATCTTTTGCAACAAATACATAAGCATAATTTCCTTGTAGCTGTGAGTTGTATGCACAAGGCTAGCGTGATCTCATGAGGTAATAATTTAAGTAAATCCTCTAAATATTACTAATATATATAATTTTTGCTATGACTGTATCACTGAATTATACACCCTGTAGTTATAAATAGTATTTATGAAGTGATCACAATACCGTATCTAATGTCCCTTATGCTACATGACATGTATGTGAGGTCTTATTTTTGTCTCTTCGGGACATTTTACATGGTGCTAATAGTGACTTTAGGCAACCATGCTTTGTAAACCAGAAAGTGTAGGTAGGTAATAAAATCATTTTGATGGAAGAGATCAAGTTCCTGGTTTCTGCAATTTGGTTATTGACAGTGACAAAATGTTGTGTAACTTTTGTTTCATCCCCAAAACACACTTGTAGGTTGTCTCCCACCATAAATTGTTCCCAGAGTGTCTGTATTTTATTTATAAACCTGTGTGGATATATCCTGTAAAGTGCCCTGTTTTTGTCAGCAGCATATATAGTAAAATAATTTAATTTCACACTTTGGGGTCCATTAATAAATGGTTTTAACCATGATTCAGAGAACTCTCACCCAGGATTCACACCTATCTCAATTATACCCAATTAGAACAATGTGTGAATTCTTAGGTGAAAGTTATGTGAATCATGGTTTACAAAATTTATAATTAGACCCCTTTATATTTATGTTCATTTGTTGCTAAAAAACATAAATATCTTCCCTATTCAAGGAAGGATTTTAGTCGCTTCATCATTTCTAAAGACATACTCAATCAGATTATATTTTTTTTGTTTAAAGCCAATAGTCTATGAACTACAATGCCCAGGGATGTTGTTAATGGCAAACTTTCAGGAGGTCCTCAGCTTTACCTGTTTGTGTAAATTTGAGATGTCAGTAATAATTCTGGATATGACCACTGGTTATCCAATCTATATGTTATCATTAACTTTTTCAATCAAGTGAGGGATCAGGTTTGGTACATACATCGTCAGGAAAGGATATTTATTGGAACTCGGGTTCTGTACTACAGAGGAATATTTTGATCCTGCATTGGGGCTACAACCTTCAATATATTTTATAATCATTATGACTTTAAAATTTTGGTCAGTGAAATATTGTGGTTTTTTTTAGGTTACGGTTTTGAACTATTTCTTCATTACAGGATTAATGTATTATTTGCCTTACATTTGCTGTGTAAACCAATATTAAGGAATATTTCTTTACCATGTGCAGTTATCAACCATTATAATAAAGTAAAAATTAAATTTAGATGCTGTTTTTCATCTGCATATAGCTTACAAAGTGGAAAAGGTCTGTGAGCTCTGACTTATATTCTTTAATAATATTCTTGGCTAATACATGAATATATATTACAAATACTTTTGCTGCAATTTTCAATAGTATGGCCTGTTTTATTAGCCATCAGATTAAAGAAGGTCTTTTTAACAAGTAAAATAACTACATATCCTTCATGTTCAAAAAATATTATTATGTAAAAATACAGAACGATCCTAAAAAAGGGCAGGGTGGGCAGTACAATGGCAGTTAATGGTAATAGTAGGGTTATGGATTTAAGCAATGGTAATAGCCATGTCCCTGTACAATAAAGGGAAAATATTTGGGGAAAACAAAGCTGGATAAGGTTTTAATTACTGATTAACAGTAAGCAGCAGCACCCAATCCAAACCACAGATGGACAAACAAAAAAATATTGGGATATGAAAAATGGAGATAAAAACACGTGATTAAAATTTGGGAGATGAAAATTTGGGGCATGATGATGATATTGTTTTGCCCCAATGTAAGGTCACACCTAGAATATGGAATACATAGTTTGGGTCTGAACTGTTAGAAGTACATGGGAGCTATAAGGTAAGTTCATATAAGTATAAGGTGGGATGATAAATAATAAAGGTGAGAGAGGTCTTACAAAAAAAATGTTTGTATAGTTTGGTTTGCATAGGTTGAGAAAAAATATCTTAGAGGTGGTCAACAGGAAACTGGCAAATTGGCTTTTTATTCTAAAGGATGTACAAAGCACCAGAGGAATCTGCTGCTCATGAGGGAAAATCAATGTTACCACCTGTGTGTGGAGGGTTCTTTATTGTAAGAGGTGCAGAAAGTGTTGCTACATGAGGTAGCAATGGCACAATTAGTGACGGAATTTGGGAAATGAACGGATGATTTACTTCCACTTATAGTTACCAAAATATATGGCTATATGGGAATATCTCAATACAGGGGTTACATTTGACTGCTTCAACTGGGTCAGGAAGAAACGTTTTCCTCCTCTAAGGCAAACATGGTCACAGGTGGTTTTCCAACCTCGCTAATTATGTAACTATTTTTGAAATTTTTCTTCAACTTATTTAGATATTTCAGCATGCTTCAGAAACTTAGAAATGTCAGATAGAGCATATTACAATTTTATTAGAACCAAGTGTTTCACAAAATTGTAATGTGAGCTATGGATAATTTATTCATAAAAATAGTCAAATGTCTTTTAAATGAAATATGATTCTAATTTGGAACCACTAGTAGGATTATAAATAATCTATTATAAAGTGCTGCACAAACTGTTGGTGCTATATAAATCCTGTATAATAATAATATTATAAATAACTAATGCTATGCACTGGGATTTTAGGGCTTTCCATGCTATGCAGCTATGTTTGTCATATTGAATAGGATTCCATGCTGTGTTGCATTCTCTTTATATGCCCCACTTGTACTTTTGGATATAGATACATACTGTGATTGTACTGTATTGATCCTGGACTTCTAATCCTGTGCTTTTCATTTTTCAGTATTGATTTCTTTTGTCTGACTTCTTGGGTGCCGCACAAACTGGGTGCCGCACAAACTTACTAACTCACTTCACTTGCTGAAGCAGTTCAGATACTGACGATGTGCAAAATGCATCAATGCAGTTGACTGGTAGCATAGGTAGACATTACCTGTGAGAATTGGTTGTTGGTGGAGAACCCCAAAAATATATGATCTTAAATGCAATGTAAGCTGTTCCTGTGGATTTTGACTTACAGATTAACAATTTCAGATTTGTGAACTTTAAGAAGATGAAGTATAAATGTAGGTTTCTAGGGCAAGGTAGCACCAAAAGAAACTGGGAAAGGGAAATTTAGAAGAAACACATTGTATTTAATGAAAGAGTAGTAGGCATATGAAGCTATCTGTGTACCTCATGCATTACTATTTGGAGCCATAATTCTTTAAGAGGCAAATGTGAGCAGGTGGCATCACAAAATATACTGTGGACCGTAGCTATATACCTGAAACATTTACTGGAGTGTCAGCTTTCTTACACAAACACTAGAACGTGTGCCCAGAGCTCAGGACCACCCAGACCCAAGCTAAATATTCTCCAAGCCGTTTCTCTTACTTTATTACCTTCTGATATTTTACAGGTACATTCTATTTAAATATGAAATATTTTTCCCTTCAATAGATTTTTCGTTTTTCCAAGAGTACAAAAAATAAATGTATACAGCGATGTGAATATACAATAACATGTATAACATCAGAACATGTGTTTCAAATATTTTAAAACATGTTTAACCAAGATATTATAACATATATGTCCAAAAGGAACAAGAGAGGAGGAGAGTAAAATACAATAGGGTAGCCAAGCTTATAGGTACAGTTAACGATATTGCATATCAGTATTACTGTACATAAATGAATTTATGTTAACAATTTTCCAATTGGATTCGAAATAGGATAATTTGCCTTCATGGATAGCTAGAATTCTGTGGAAGTAAGTAATAATGGGTTTTAATAATGGATACTATTTCAGAGACATTGGGGGAATCAAGTGATTTCCAGTGTTGCATAATTGTTAATCTTGCTGCTAAGAGTATATGTTGAGTAACAGTTTGGGTATTTTTATTTGAACTGACTCAAGGAATGCAACCCAGCATCATATTTTCCTTCTGTCATCCATCTTCTACCTTGATTTCTTAATCCCTATAATTGCTGATATATTCATCTAAACAGCCATAAATCCAAATCCATGGACCATTATGTGCTCACAAATTCATGCAACTCCCTCTCTCTGAGGTCACTGCATTCTCGCCCATTTACATTAGATCATGCATGGGGAGTTGGTGGCAAATAAGTCTGCACTATTATATCAACTTACATTAAACAAAATATATTGGGGGGAATTCATAAAAACTGGAGCAGACAGAATCTGGATCAGTTGTGCATGGCAACAAATCAG